TTTTTATAAATGGGTGGGAAATTTTGTGGAAAACCGATGAGAACAAATGTGGAAAGCCCACAGGCGGTCGCGTGAAAGTGTGGAAGCTTGGAAGATTTTGCACCCCTGTGGACTATTCCGCAACTATAACTTTTGCACGGAGAAAAAAACTTCGTGCGTGGGACCCGCGAAGTTTAGGTCATATAGATCTCTGAAGTTTTCGGATTGAGCGTCTGAACACTTTAGGTCCAGCTGCAGAGGTTTGGATCACACATATGAAACTTCAGTTCTTACATCTGAAGTACTTTGGTTTTCACATCCGAAAAACTTCGGTTCTCGCATCCGAAAAACTTCGGTTCTCACACTTGAAGTACTTCAGATGTAAGAACTGAAGTTTCAGATGTGTGATCCGAACCTCGACAGCTAGACCTAAAGTGTTCAGATGCTCAATCCGAAAACTTCAGAGATCCATATGACCTAAACTTCGGGTCCCATGCACGAGGTTTTTTTACTCCGAGTGTGAACTACTATTTCTGGGTTATTTTAGAAACAAAATACGTGGTGTAAGTTTCTCTATGCGGAATTGCGGACAGGTACTTTTTTGGATGAGCTTTGAAATTAGTGGTTCCTTATTGCAAAACGTAGTCAATTTAAATGATGACGTTTTCCGGTGTTGGAGCTCGACACTCTCCTACACTCTCAGCTTGGTAGCGTGGATGAAGCAGAGCACAGGTTCCTTGGCAAAGTCATTTGCGATAGTCGATTCCCAGATGTAAACAGGCCGAAAAGCGGAGCCACTGCGCGCCCCCTCCTGGCGTCTAATTGCGAATTGGTGGCGCGTGGACTTGAAACAACCCCTCCAGCGAGTGTCTTCCTTTATTTCTCTTCTCCAAGCTCCTCCCCTATTTTCTTCCCCTAACTTTCTCCGCCTCATCCTCTTCTGCCTTCCTTTTCACAAACGTTTCGTAAACATACCGAATCTGCTCCGAACTCGGCGACTTATGCATCCCAAGTTTTTGAGGGTATCTGCGCCGTATATTGAATTCTCTTAGTGAATGCTTTGTGAGCTATTTCCGTTCACCGAACTACAAATCTGAATGGAAGGCGGAAGTCTTACCATGGATTCAAATGCTTCTTATTATTTTTTGAACTTATACAAGAAAAAAAGAAAAAAAAACCTTGTCAGGATGATTAATCCAAGACAAAAAAAAAAAAAAAAAAAAAAATCAATGTGATTAATGTATGTAAAATCTCGTATTTAGTCAAAGTTCTGATTTTTGGTGTTCTGTGTGTTCCTGTGCTGTAATTTTCATGGATTTCGAAGATTTTCATATGTATTATCCTAACACCTAAAATACTAGCCTACTCCCCAACGTATCTTCAACTCATACAATATACAATTAAATTTCAAGAACCCACTCTTCTTCAACAAACAATTTGGCCGAAAGATCACGAAAGAGAATGACATGCTGGAAACAGCAAGATTTTATAGAACAGAATGTCAAAAATGTAGAGAGGGAAATATTGGAGGTCTATAAAAATTAGAGCACAGGAACATGCTAGACATAAAAAACATCGAGCATTAATGGTGAAAAATGGATGACTTTTATTTTTTTGAGTTAGCAGTAGGCATTTTTTAGGTAAATAATGTTCTTCTCGGAATCCGCACGTTTCCATATTCTTGTCGGTTGAGAATAAATGTAATATTAAATCTTAGATGTGTAAAAATTTCTCGATAGGAATCCTTGGCTACAGGGGTGTTGAATTAAACAGCAACCATGGTCCTTCTAAAACTAAAAAGTGATGCATACAATGCAGGGTACCACTTTGCAGTGGGTGTCCATGATACCGATGGCTCCTGTTGTAAAACCGTTAAAATATTTATTTTTGTTCGCATTTGCCAACTCGTTGGTATCTGCTTCTTTCTTTAGTATGTATGTTGTTTGTATGAATGTTGAGGATAAAGTAGGTAGCAATAATGAGAAGCGTAGGTATGGTCTGTATGTTTTATTACTTAAGAACAAAATCTTGTGACATTAGTTTTAAGATTAGCTTTAAGATCACACTAACATCAATGTAATTAATGCCCCGTAAGGGGCAGTTGTACAATTTTATCTTAATAATAAAAAAAAAAAAAAGGAATCCTATTATTTCAAATTTTGTCGGAAAATACAGCCAGAAAATTCATAACTTGGTGATTGACTGTCTTGTTAAAGTTTGAGAATGTATGTATGTATGAGCCGCTTTTACGGCGCGCTAGGGCGCTCTGCGACGCCTATTCTCCACAGGAATCTGTCATGGTAGAGATCCTCCGGAAGGTGGCATCTCTCCATCTCTTCATGGATGCCCTCTACCCACCGTTTGGCTGGACGCCCTCTCCGTCGCCTACCTGGGGGGACCCACTCCAACACCTTCTTCGGCAACCTGGTATCAGCCATTCTCTGCACATGCCCATACCATACCAATTGCTTGGTCATGATATCGTGCACAATCGTCCCCTCAACGCCCAAGAGAAATAAAAAGTTTATAAAGTAATATAAAGTTTGAGAATACGATTTCAAAATATTGGTCGAAGAATGGGCGGAGAGGAAAAAAAACAAGCAAACCAAATGAGGATGGGAAGGATGTCCAATCAAATTACTGAAAATAAAAAATATACCGTTAGCTCTATTACATGTTTGCATGAACTGCTGTCTTGATTTGCCGTTTACCATTTCACGAAAAACATGCAGCACACGCTCCCTTCAGTGGATGAACGGAGTTAGGGGTGCAGCTTTTAGTCAGTTCAAAGAAGATCCGCGAGAGTGCGTTGCGTTTACGCTTAGTTTATACCTACGATAGACGGTGGTGGTGGTAGTAAAATCGCTCATTGACTCGAACCATATGAAGACATCACCGATTCAGAAGAGGAATAAATGTGTAGTACTATGAAATGCAGTGCATTTTGCAATAAGCGACTACTACCTGTAGATCATCCATTGAAGCACTAACTTCCACCTTTTATTCTATTTTACTAAAATACAAGGTACATGTTCAGTCAGTGAGTGGAAAACTAGATTCATTGGAAAAATGGTCGCTTGGATCTCGAGTCTAGACTCTTAAAATAATTGACGAGGAAAAACAATCTTAATATAATCGGATTTTACACTTGAATCGAAAGAAAATCCGCCTAAATTAAGGGGCTCGGCTCTTCGATTTAGGGCGAAATCGGATTGAATCAAGAATATTTATTCTTGTCAATGTTATTATGAGTCTGGACTCTAGATTCACGTGATTTTTTTCCAGTTTACGATCAAAGTGATAATGGGGAGGTTACGGACATGGCGAAATATGAAGCTCTAGGAGCCCGGAGGGGCAGTTAACCGTCTTACATGAACAAGATAAATAAATCTACCAATTTTCAGATTCCAATATCAGACAAAGGTGGCTTAGAATTTTCATACATGAGCGTATTCCGCAAAACTTGTATTCCGGAAACCAAGTCAAACACATGGTTTTTGAACGAAAGGTCATCATAACGATTGTATTAACGAATCATCCTGGATGGTTGAGTCGCGATTTTAAAGGCTAGAGATGCGAGGAGGGTACGTGCTTTGCCATAAAATTAGGATGTACCCAAAATCTGCCGTGCTAAGGAAGAACGCCGTATGAACATTCAAAAGTTGCCAACTTTCCCCGGATAAAATATGTATCATTGACGAAATTTATGTATATTTTTCTTTAAAATTTTTAGATATTTGATATTAAATTGCGAATGAAATAGCCTGAAAAATTGAAAGACAAATATTTACAATCCCTCATAAATTTGTATTTTATCAGTGGAAATTTGACAACGCCTGGAGGTTCATACGGCGTTTTTCCTTAGCATGGCCGAAACGTTCCCAATACCTTGTGACGTCAAGAGGGTGCAAAGTGCGGGCATCACTTTAGCCGTCTTGCTAAAAGTTGCATGGCCTATATACATGGCAAATACATTGACAGGGCTGCTACTTTATTTGGGGACTCCAAAACTGAAAACACGGCATCTACGCTAATGTATTTACTCCCTATCTTTGCTTGGAGAGTTTGTCTTGATGTAGAGGTGGACTCTCATGGATAGCGTGGGGTATCTCCTCCATTTTGGCCTCAACTTGAGAGCTTTTTTTTTGAGCTTGGGAGTTAATGTCGGAGAAAACCAGTGACACCATCGTGTTTCTCTCGAACTTTTACGTAAAAATCAAAAGTCAAATCGCAAATCCTTCACACATGCAACATCTCCATTCCATGTATAAAAGTTGGCAACCGTGACATGTATTGATTTAAAATTCGTAATAGATCCGCACTTGAAAATAGAACTTGGAACTTGCGACATGAATCTCAGAGGATCATTGCACAGCTGCTTTCGAGACCAAATCGGAGGCTGTCGCTGTCATGAATCATACAGGGTACCGAACGTAAGTAATATTTCAACAGGACTGAAATACATATCAATCACGAGTGCATCAATCGTGTAGCACTACATCTGTTTTATGTGGTGAGGTGAAGGTCATCCGAAAGCCAATATGTAAATACCATGGTAACAAAAAATATTTTGCCGCACCTCAAAATTTCAAAATTTTGTTACGTTTTACTGCCAATTCAACTAACTACGTGCAGCATGCATGTAGTTGGCTGAAGTGGACGTTGCAGTTAGGTCCTTATTTCAATTGAATGTCCTAAAAGCTGCTTAATTTCTTTATTTATTTTTATTACTTGTTGGGGAGGGGAGCAATTTGCCTCGTGTTCGTTGTAATACAAAAGTAAATATATACATATAAATACGTTTTATACATATAAAATTTTTTGTTTAGCCTTGATCCTGTGATTTGTGTTTCTTCTATATAATATTCGGGCTACGAAAATTCATCTCATCATATAAGTACGTAGATAAAAATAAGTCGAATATGAATAAGTAGATAAAAATAAGTAGAAAATGAGCAACGCTGGAAATACGGGTGAGATTTATTGAATTTGCTAGATGAATTCTTTTGCAGCTTCCGGAATAACGTCAGGAGTGGAAAATATTGACAGGTGGTTGACTGAGTGAAAATACACGCTATAAATAGAGTCATCTGGGACAAACTAGGGAAAGTTGAGCTGAGCCTCAGTGTTGAACGTAGATCATTCAGTCGCTCTGATCCTGAATTTGTATTCTGGTACGTTTCATAGCTACATTTCAATAGACATCGTCTCAAAAGAATTTATTTAATTTTTATACTTTCCTCTTCACCTAGTAGATCCTTAAAACCTATACACCGGTATCGATTGTTCATATGTGTACTATTATTTTAAAATTTGTTTATTGTTTTGATTACATGCGTTAAAAATACCACAATCCACGCGGGGAAAAAACTTCGGTCGTTATGGATTACTAAAGCTTCCAGTCTCGATAACCGAACTTTTGGTCTTACAGACCAAACTTAAGTTCAAGAAGCTGAAGCTTTTATTCGGGCAGTCTAAGCCTCGTATGTATTTACCAAAGACTGCAGCTATATCTCTAAAAATAAATTCAACGAGAGAAAATCTGCTCTAAAAGCGGCACCCTAATAGAAGAAAATAGACTTTTACAAACTCTCTCTCTTCCATCAGAACTCAAAAGCGTCCCTTTTTTATGTGCGTACGACTGATTTAATATCAATCAAGGTCATATTATTTCTAATCCCATTTTTTTTTCTTTCTTTTTTCTTTTTTCTTTTGTCAACGGCCTCTAGTTATTGAAAATGTGCCCAATACAAGAAAGTCCTACCTCAGCAATGGTCCATGTTAAACGTCCATGGTCAAATATGGGTCAAATGTATTTGGTCCGATTACATTTGGGCGTATTTCTGCCAAACGGAACTGTGTGCATTACGACGTGAGAACCTGTTATGCATATATTCTTATGACTCTTAGGGCTCATGTCTTAATGCACATACTTTTATTTGGCAGAAATGCGTTCATTTGATCCTCTTCTTTTGACTCAGACATGACCTTTATAGAGAATTATCTTTTTTGTTCTAAATAAAAGCGTTATTTCCTGAGTTTCATCACTTGTGTTTCAGTGCTTCGTTGCCGAATAAACAAGCATGCCTTCCTCCAAGTGGAAGATAGCTGCACTCTTCACGCTTACTTTTTGTTTGTTGGTGCTTCCAAAAGGATCCCATGGCGGCACTGTTCTTGTGAGCCCATGCAAAGTGGATTGCAACCGCAGCCAACGGGAAAAAGACCAATGCTGCCAGGCCCATAACCATCTCTCTTTTGCGAGCTGTACTGTAGGCCAAGACGACTTCCTTTGTAATACAAAATAATGTTGTTTGGGTTTGTGAACGTTTCCGATTCGTATTTACAAATTAAAATGTTATCATTCCAGTGATAAGAAACGGTTTTCTTTCTGAATTTAAGTAGAACCCATGCAAACGTGGCTAAGAGATAAGCAAAGGAAAAAGAAAGTGGCAGTTCTTCGGCAGTGGCGTGGCGTGAACTGCGATATATCGATTGATCTTTCGTTGAAACCAAATGTAAAATAATCGACAAACAGGATGTTCGGAACGAACACCTTAATAATCGATCCTTCACCATTACTTCAAATGGGGAATTTTCTAAAATCGATCATTAACGCCTTACCTGATAATGAAATTGTGGAATGGGACCTTATCTTTCGGGAGGGAATCCTCATTTTAAATAAATACAGCCAAACCAGCTCTACCTAGTACCTGTTCGTCATAGAGAAAAAAAAGGAGGTGTTTGCATTTCGGGCATCTTGGAATTTTTCATAGAGTATCTATAGCTTTGATGACGTCATTGGGTACAGCGACGTTTTTATCCTGTCGATTTTTTTGGAAATGGTGTAATTTAAGGGAAAAAGTCATTCTATAAAAAGTGCTTGAAATTAAATAAAGAGTTGATTTAAGTAAAAAAATCGGACATTATGGTCCGTTTTTACAGCGTCAACATAACCCTCAACGAGCGTCTTGTTTACATTGATGACGTAGGTGGGTACAAATCCTCAAGATGCAAACACCTCCTTTTTTTTCTCTATGCCTGTTCGTTATAGGTGTAGATCAGTAAAACAATGTAGGAAATGTATCATCCAATAATTGCTTCTAGTTCTACTAATATTATCTAAATTTTCTTCAAATTTTTTCTGTGCAGATTTGCTGCTTAGCAAAACTTCTTTTACGGATCTGTGTGTTTTCGTGCAAGATTTAAAACCATCTCGCGTGAGATATACACACAAAAATTTAAAAACTCAATTTCAAATTATAATTCACTCCAAAAATCATTTCGGGAGGCAGTGGTTTCCCAGCATAACTCAAGTTGTAATGATCGAAATTCGCTCGGAGAATGAATCGCAATTTTATCGAAGTCGATTTATTGCAATATTTTCGGATGAAAAATCGCGATTTCATCGCACGAATCTGCAATAAAACCGCGATTTTATCGACGGCGATTTATCGCGATGTCGTCGAACGAAAAAATTGTGATGGATCGAGATATAATTTCGAGTTTGTCGAACGCCATTTTACGGGGATAAAATTGCGAGGAGATTTATTCGAATCTCTCAGATAATGAGGATCCTAGCGATTTTATCGCCAAAAAATCGCAACTTAATTTCAAAGCATCGCGATGTTTCCGTTTAAAAATGCTACTTGGAGAGGGCAAGAAATTCTGGGCAAGGAAGTCTTGTCCTGGAGAGATCCTGGGGAAGGGTCGGCGTAAGACACGGGAAACCGACTCAAAATGTCACCGGGAGAGGACGGGTCGGTCTCGCGCTGCCGTGCTAAGGAAAAACACCGTATGAACCTTCAGGCGTTGCCAAATTTACTTCGATGAAACACGCATTTTCGAGCAAAACTGACGAAAATTTTCCTTCCAATTTTTCCGATAATTTTGCTCACAATTTCATCTACAGATCTCTAAAATCTCATTAAAAAATATTCTTAGATTCCCTTCAAAATAAATATTTTACCGTAGGAAATTTGGCAACTCTTGAATGTTCATACGGCGTTTTTCCTTAGCACGACAGCGCGACTCAAAGCGCTTTCTTCTAAGGGTTCTTCGAGCTCTGAGTCGAACGGAAGGGACGCGTGGGGAGTGGATCAATAGAGCGTCTTAGTTATAAGAAAATTTCATTTTTCTTATATGGCGTTGCCAAGGAGACGGTCGCGCTGACATGCGCCGTGGGGGCTTTTCGTCAAGACTCCTTTTCAGACAATGGTCGCCTCTACTTTCCTTCGGCTGTGCTTTTGATTTTCCACCGCTTTCCTTCTGGCTTCCGAAGCCGCGGCTATCTCGAGCGTGAGAAATGAACGTTCAAGACCAATGACACCGCTCATCCCAACTCCCC